CTAATGTCATACATGCCAACTCTCTACCGCTTTTGGGGCGTTTTTTTCAGAATGAAACGCCCCAGAGGCAGTGTTAGACCCGAAAATTATTGGCTATTATCCCACCCTTTATTGACAACAATTTGTCCTGGCCAATTCTAGATGGTTTTCCTTCATTAACACGTTTTCCAATTCAAGAATAATCAAGTGGCAATTGAAGACACGCCTTCTCTCCCCCATGCGATCTAAAAGCGACAAAATAATGGGCTACATTCAGTACAGAAAAATAATTTAATTATAATTAGGTCTATGCACCAGCACTCGGCGACTGCATTTCAGAACTCTTCAGCGAATTAAGGTAATTTCGGCGACAAGTACGTACACTTGTTTTTGCAGCACGGTCACACAACTTGCTGTAAAAAATAGACAGCTGTCTGATTGAAAAATGTCATTGGATGAAACCACGTACTAGTCACCAAAATTACCTTCATTCGCTGAAGAGTTCTGAATAGCCGTTCCGAGTGCCGGTCCAAAGACCTAATTACAATTAAATTATTTTTCTGTACTGAATGCAGCCCATTATTTTGTCGCTTTTAGATCGCATGGGGGAGAGAAGCCGTGTCATCAATTGCCACTTGATTATCCTTGAAATGGAAAACGTGTTAATAAAGGAAACCTATCTAGAATTAGCCAGGACTAATTGTTAATAAAGGGAGGGACATTAGCCCAGGTGTAACGCCGCCGCTGTAAACGCCCCGAAAGCGGTAGTCTACTGCCAAAAGTGGTAGAGTTGGCATGTATGACTAATGTCAGCTTGAATGTGACATTTTTTTTACCTCCGCCAAACAAAGTTGGCAGGAGGTTATGTGATTGCTGGCATTTGTCTGTCTGTTTGTTTGTTTGCAAGATAACTCAAAAAGTAATGCACGGATGTTGATTAAATTTTCAGAGAATTTGGATATTAGGACAAGGAACAGGTGATTAAATTTTTGCATATCTAGGCCAAAGTACAGCTGAGATATTCACCAAAGTTCAAGATTTCAAGTCTTTCCAATGGGCCGGAGTTCCAATCGCCGTGCTTTTGGGTTTTGCTGCCACCTGGGGGAGGTCTGCGCTCTCTGAGTGCTTTTCTAGTTCCACCTGTTTTTAGGCTATTTCCCTAGTACATCTCACGCAAGGCCCCATGTATCACACTCAGACGGCAGAAGCACATCAAAGCCACCCAGAATGGTCGATGGATTCAGCCATGATAAGGTCACACGTTGTGTTACTATGCGTGCGTTGCTATGGCTGTGCTTTCAAGCCCCTCCTCCCTCCTCCCACCCTATTCCCTCGCACCACCCCTTCCGCCCAGCCATGCCTCTGTCTTCCGGCCGAGTCAAAATCTCGAAATTTTCTCGCAAGAGCAAGATTGGCTTGATAAAAAGGGCAAAATAAATTTAAATGTTGCGTAATTTTTGTAAATTACCACAAAACATTATGTTTTAGACCCAAATCACTTATTTTTAACCGGTGTAAATACAAGGTAATGGATCCTTTAAATTAACGGTGTCACAGTCTGCTGCTGCTGTCTCTCCCAGAGCTACTGATATTCTCAGAGTTGCGACACTCCCATTGACTCTCGTGTACAAAAAATGGCGGCGCACTTCCGGGTCTGGGAACTTCATATAGTTCCAAAAGAGGATTCTCGCAGCTTCGTACCGATTCACTTCCATTGAGACAACATCGACGGTAAGTAATAAAATATTGAAGTCTTATGATTCACGAAATGTATATATCATATCAGTGGTCATGTATCATTTATAATCTCCAATTGTGTATGATCGGCATGACGATAGATATATTTTAAGTCTGAAGAGTTTGTGATAATTTAAGCTCATGTTCTTTGCCTCAAGTTTAGCTTGGTCAGCTGTGGGAAATTAGTCATGAACTCTATGGAGTTTCTATTTCTATTTCTCCCAAAACCGATATAAATCACGACGGTAAATGATGGGATGAGGTGCCTGTGACTGGTTTCGGGAAAGTTTTTTTTATTTATTTTAAAGTTAGCTTTGACGATTTTGACATGCTCTTACCTAGCCTAGCTTGATCAGCTGTTTTAAGTTTAATCATGAATGGTTGCGGAATTTATAACTCAGTTTAGCTCTCAAGAACCATTTCGGATGAAAACCACTGGTTATTCATAAAATTGGATGAAACCACAAGTTAGGACGTTGACGACCTAAGTGTCACCCATCATGTTTTAGCTAGCTTTTATGACATTGCATCTGTCAGTTTGCATTTGTCATGCCAGGCGCTGTTAGCTTTCTAGCGATCTTTTCGCAAAAAGATGGTCTTTTTAAATGATTTACTCTTGGAGATGTGGTGGCTGTGGTTAGTCTTTATTACTTTTCTGTGCTCATTTTATTGTGCCATGTAGGCTTACCGTTAATTTACCGTTAATACGGGCAGAGGCTGCTGTTGGCGATGGAGGCTATAGGGTTCCTGGGAGGTTCTGAGATGTCTAAACTTTGCAAATCACACATTTATTTTAATCCCAAATTAAATTTAAAACTCCTTTTTAAAATAATGCAATGATTTTGTTAACTTTTGTTATTGCATGAGTGTCTTACATGTCAATTATGGGAGACTTTGAAAAGGTCTTAAATTTAACTCAGTGAAACCCTGCAGGTACCCTGTGCTGCTGGCAGTGGTGGAGGCAGGCGCTGGCGGAGGCGGCAGAGGCTGCTGTTGGCGATGGAGGCTACAGGATTCATGGGAAGTTCTGAGATGTCGAAAAGTTGCAAACCTCTTCCAACATTCCTGGCCCTTGTATTTGTAATGTCCCCCACCCCTTTACTTAATTATTTGTAATTCCACAAATGATCATGCTTCACAGTATCATTCTTGTTCCAAGAGTTTACTTGTCTGTTCTATTCAGTATATTCCTGTTAAATCCATTTAGTTGTTATAGTTCTATTCACAACCCTGTTCTGCCCTGTTCTGAAAACGCGCGCGCACACACACACACACACACACACACACTTAGTAGTTCAACACATCGAGAAGGTTTATTAATTTAACACAAGCTGTGTTTCCATCCACCTATTTTAATGCGCATTTTCATTTTGCGCTTAAAAAAACCTGAGTGGAAACGGCCAAAATGCGCATCAACTTGAAATGTCGCATCAATTTTTTTTTGCGCAAGGAGGGGGTGGAAAATTTTCCGAATCGATAAAGATAAATGCGCTTTAGAGCAGTGGAAACGGGTTAGCGAACAAGTTATGCGAAAAAACGATGACGTTTAGTATCTACGTCATTTTTGCTTGCCTACGTTGGCAAGCTTGCTAGCTAGTTTGCTACCTCGCAACATTGGTGTGCTAGCTATAACGTTAGAGTTCGTTATCACTTTAGCTAGCTAGCTAGTGGTTAAAACAGTAGAGGCGAACTGTGACCTTACACTACTGTGCAAGCTGTAACATTAAAGACTTCGTAACCACTAGCTTAAGTGATTACTTTCATTCGTTTTCACCGCCAGCTTTCCCGTTTGTTTTCCTTTTCGTTCGTCGCACTTATTGACGTCATAGCGTGCGCCGTCTTCTTCTGCAGAAGCAATAGCAAATGATAAAAGGATTAGCGCCACCTAACGGCACTTTCGGCTTATCTCGTGAAACAAAAGCGCATAACTGAAATGGATGGAAACGCACACAAATGCGCTTTTCCTTTTGTCACATTAACGAAAATTCGCTTAAAATTTGCGATACAAGTTGGATGGAAATACAGCTACTGATCATCCCCTCTCCCACATTAGAACCCACCACCACCCTGCCACATTACTATGTGCAACGTTGTATTTCTTTTGTTCTTTGTTGTTCAAGGTTCACTCATGGTTCACTCACTCACACTTGCACCCCTCCTTGTTTAATTTGTTTATCAACTTCAATTTCTGTGCCGTCCTGTTGTCCACTGTTCAATAAAAATCTTTTTGTTGAAAACCTTTCCTTGCATCAGTCATTGCATTTAATCTAATTCAGTCTCCTGGTCTCACCAGCTGTAGGTTACATTTGTTTCGTTCATTTTATCTAAATATTAGAATTGAGGATATCAAGGGCTCTGAAATGAGCATGGTGGTGCACCTTTGCTTTAAGGAAGAACTGGCGTGACATTGAATGATATAACCGGTCAGCAGAACTTTAACATGGTAAATTGTGCGTAAATCCAGAAGATAAAGGCAGACCCTGGTAATCCAGTAATGTAACTTAAAGTTAATATATGTTAAATTATCCATCCCCATGACAGTGTAAGTAAGGGGTTAAATTTTCTTAGAAATTATAGCGGATCAACGGTACGTATCAGTACTAGCTCACTGACGCAAACATGAATCTTTCCTTCCAAAAGCTATGACATGATCTTAGTAGTAGAAGCATGACCTCTATAAACATGTATGTAAATACTGTAATTCATTAAGATAAATACGTATGCGGCAATTGTGTAAGGTTTAATTTAATATTTAACATTCAGTAACGCAATCGCTGCTGTCTGTCCCAAAGGAGATAATGACAGCGCGGCATTTGTTTGGAACTATAGCGCTTCCCCACGAACCACGTGACCACTCGAACAACGAAGTCAATAGGTGTCGCCACTCTGAGTTATCTACCGCTCTGGTCTCTCCCTCTGCCTGGCCACACCCCTTCCACTGCTGACCACCCCCCCTCTACTGCTATTGCTCTCAGCTGAGTCTCGTGACCCAGCCAGTATATAAGCAGCTCTGTTTCACTAACTCACTGCCAGATTGTCGTTGCAGCATGCACTACTCTTCAGCGTTTACCTTCGGCCTGACTTCCTGGAATCGACTCTGCCTACGTCCTCTTACTCCTGCCCTGGTAAACCAGATTGCCTTCTGCCTCTGACTCTGAGCTCTGTCTGTGTGTTTCCTGGTTCCTGTCTGCCGTCTTCCAAGCCCCTGTCCGAGCCACCGGTTTTGTCGCTCCACTGCCTGTCTGTGTGGATACGACCTCACCTGCCAAGCCTTAAACCAGCCTGCTCCGGTGGCCCAGTGGTAATTTTCCCGCCTGCGGTGTGGGCGTCCTGGGTTCAATTTCCGCCATCAGCGCCTGCTCCAGCGGGTTGCCAGAAGAGCTCCACTCAAGACCCACAAGCTCCAGATCCCATTCTGCATCTGGTCACTCAGCACTGCTTTCTGTTTACCCCTGCCTCAAAGTCATTAAAGATCTGTAAACATCCACTCGCTCTGATTGTGCTGCTATTGGGTCCTGCCGCTCCGCGTGTCAAACGGAGCTTTGAACAACCAGGCCCAGAGGTTTTTAGGATTTTTTTTTCACAGTCATATGAAACAAAAATATATTTTTCACATACAACCCCAATTCCTAAATAGTTGGGACGAAGTGTAAATTGTGAATAAATTCAAAATGCAATGACTGTCAGATCACATGAGCCAATATGTTATTTACAATAGAACATAGATAACATTTCAAATGTTGACACTGAGACATTTTACATTTTTATCCACAAAATGAGCTTATTTCAAATTTTCTGGCTGCAACAGGTCTCAAAAAAGTTGGGACACAGGCAAAAAAGGGCTGAAAAAGCAACTAATATATAAGAGAATCATCTGAAAGAACATTTAGCAAGTAATTAAGTTAACTGGCATCAGGTGTGTAACATGATTGGCTCTAAAAGGGATGTCTTAGAGAGGCTGGGTCTCTCAGAAGTAAAGATGGCCAGAGGCTCTCCAACCTGTGAAGGCTTGCGTAAAAAAAGATTGTGGAATACTTCAAAAACAATGTTCCTCAACGTCAAATTGCAAAGGCTTTGAAGGTCTCGTCATTGACAGTGCATAATGTTATGTATGAGTATTTTATGTAAAGCACTGTATATCATTTGTAAATGGAGATTTGTTACATGCTGTTTATGCTGCCTTGCTGGTCAGCTATTTATTTTGTTCATCAGCACCCTCTGGTGGTGTGTCTGTAGCAAAACATGATCTGATGTAATATCACTTCTTTGTAATAGACTAGTGCTTTCTAGAAGCTTCTGGCATCTTCCTGCCTGGAGGGGGCGGGATTACCCAGGAATCCCATAGATCTTTCCAGAATGTTGCTAGTCTATATAAATGCTGTGATTTTGGTCAGTAAGGGCAGAGTTTTTGTTTTGGCAACAGAGTTACAGAGTGGCATTAGAGTGTTATTATAAGGTTAATCAGTGGATTATTTGTAGAAGTTTTTTTTCAGTGAAGAATAAATTTGTTTAAGTTGTCATTGCTGGTTTTCTTTGTTGTGATTTTCAAGTCATAACAAATTGGAGGTTCCACCGAGATAAACCATTCATTGGATCAACGATTGGATTCACCAAAGATTAAAGCTGATCTATCATTTTTAAATCTTGTGACTATTTGAAAAACCAGCAATCATGACTTTTGATGTTGAAAATTTTTTGAAAACTCCAACCCAGGAATCAATTGTGCTGGCAAAGAAGAAGGACTTGCTACAAATAGCCTCAACCCTTGGATTATCTGATGTGAAATCATCAATGAAGAAACAAGAAATATTCAACATTTTGGTGCAACATTTCATCGATGAAGATATCTTTGGGGAAGAAGCAGCAGAATTTATGAAAGATGTGGAAGTGCCTGCAACAGAGCTGCAAAGACTTGAGATTCAGCTACGCCAAAAACAACTAGAACTGGAAGAAAGAAGGTTGGAGAAAGAACTAGAAGAAAAAAGGATGCAGTACGAATTGGAAATGAAGAAAATAGAAGCAGGTACTGTTACAAAATCTTTTGGACTTTCTGATCATTTTGATGTGGTTAAACACATCAGACTTGTTCCTCCTTTCCTAGAAAATGATGTAGACCAATACTTTACCCATTTTGAGAAAATTGCTGAAAATTTGAAATGGCCAAAAGAGCACTGGACAATGATGTTACAAAGTGTTCTTTCTGGTAAAGCTAGGAAAATCTATAACCAGTTATCTGTCCAACAGTGTTCTGATGATGATTTTGTCAAATCTGCCATTCTGAAGGGTTATGAATTGGTCCCCGAGGCTTACAGGCAAAAATTTAGGAATTCTCGCAAGGAAGCCAGTCAAACTCATGTTGAATTTGGCAGGTTGAAGGAACAGTTGTTCGATCACTGGTGTAACTCCATGAAAGTTGAGTAAGATTTTGATAGAATGAGGCAACTTATTTTGGTTGAGGAATTCAAAAGGTGTATCCAGCCTGATATCAAGACTTTTCTTTGAGGAGAAACAAGCCATTACTTGCAAGATGTGTCCACCCTAGCTGATAGTTATGCATTGACTCATAAGTCTTCTTTTGTCCAAAAATCCACTTTTTCTAAATTTCAAAGCAAGTCTCAGTCTAAGGCTTCTTCTAATAACACTTCTAATGATTCTAAGGCCACTTCTGAGAGGAAACCTTCTAGTGAGAAGCAATCCTCTGATTCTTTACCTTCTTTGTCTTGCCAATACTGCAAAAAGCAAGCTCACCTTATTTCTGAGTGTTATACTCTCAAGAAAAAAACAACGATAAGAAACCAAGCCAACTGCTTTCACTAGGAGAGAATCTCTTTTATCAATGGTCAGTTCGCCTGATCTTCTACCTTCTGTGTCTGATTCTGTTATGAAGGGTTTTGAGCCATTCATCACAGATGGTTTTGTCTCACTTTCACATGATTTTTCCTCATCTGCTCCTGTTTGAATTTTAAGGGATACTGGGTCTTCCCAATCTCTTATTCTTGCAGATATTCTGCCTTTTTCGGACAAAACGTCTACTCAGGCTAATGTCCTTATTCAAGGAGTAGAATGTGGTTTTACAAGTGTACCTCTCCATAATGTTCATCTCAAATGAGACTTGGTCTCTGGGCCTGTTACTGTTGGTGTTAGGTCTTCTCTTCCTTTCAAAGGTGTTCATTTGCTTCTTGGTAATGATCTTGCTGGGGATAAGGTTGTGCCCTACCCTGTTGTAACTGACACTCCTTTGATTGATCAAGTATCTGACTCTATAGAGGAGGAAATTCCAGACCTCTTTCCTTGATGTGCAGTTACTCATTCTATGGCCAAAAAAGCTATTCAAAATGATGCTGACCTGGACTTCAACCTGGCTGACACCTTCACTGGGCAGTCTTTTCATCAGGAATCTTCCAGTCCTGAGATGTCTGGGAAATCTTCAGACTTGTCCTTGTCAGTCATTCTAATGACCTTCAGTCTCGGAAACAACTTATTCAGGAGCAACAACAAGCTCGTGATCTAGCGCATCTTCTCCCACAGGCTGCAAGTGAACAAGAGGCTACTCAAGTTCCTGTCTATTTTTACTACAACAATGGTGTGCTTATGAGAAAGTGGCGTCCACCTGATGTTTCTGCAGATGAAGAGTGGATGATCACCCATCAAATTGTTCTTCCAAAGTCTTATCATCAAGAAACTCTTAGTCTGGCCCATGACAATCCTATGTCAGGTCATTTGGGTATCAAGAAGACCCTCAACGTGTCAGGAACCATTTCTTCTGGCCTTCCATGAGGTCTGATATACAGGAGTACTGCAAATCCTATCATACTTGTCAAATGGTTGGGAAGCTGAACCAGAATATTCCAAAGGCTCGACTTAAGCCCATTCCCGCTTTTGAAGAACCTTTCAGTCGGATCATCATTGACTGTGTTGGACCATTGCCGAAGACTAGATCTGGTTGTGAGTACCTACTGACTATTATGTGTGCTTCCACTCGGTTTCCTGTGGCAATTCCACTCCGTAAAATCAAGGCGAAGACTATCATCAAGGCTCTTACCAAGTTTTTCTGCTTTGTTGGTCTTCCTAAGTCTATTCAGTCTGATCAAGGGTCAAATTTCATGTCTGGCATATTTCAACAAGTTATGCATGAGCTTGGTATTAAAATATACAGGTCATCAGCTTACCATCCTGAGAGTCAAGGTGCTTTGGAGAGGTTCCATCAAACCCTGAAGAACATGATAAGGACCTACTGCCTTGACAAAGAGAAAGACTGGGATGAAGGTGTCCATCTTCTTCTGTTTGCTGCCCGTGAAGCTGTTCAGGAGTCTCTTGGGTTCAGTCCTTTTGAGCTTGTATTTGGGCATACAGTCCGTGGACCTCTGAAGCTTCTGAAGGAAAAGTTGTTGGCCAAAGATGATGTCCCAATGAACTTGCTTCAGTATGTCTCTGACTTCCGTAATCGTCTCTCTAAGGCTTTTGACTTTGCTAAGTCTAATCTCAAAGAGGCTCAGGGCAGAATGAAGGTCAGATGTGACCTTCATTCCCAGGACAGAGGTTTTGGGGCTGGTGACAAAGTCCTTGCACTTTTACCAATCCCTGGAAACCCTCTAAGAGCCTGATATTTCGGCCCTTACACTGTCCTCAAAAAGGTCAGTGATCTAAATTTACGTAATTTTAACCCCTGGAAGGAGGAAACAAAAACAAATGTGTCACATCAACATGCTGAAAGAATACATTGATAGAGACTCTCAGCAAAAGCCAGTCAATGTGGTAAATACAATTGAACTGGAAAATTCTGAGGAAGATTGTGACTGCCCTTGAAAATGAACCTGGTTCAGCCAAATTTGAAAATTCAGACATTCTTCAAAATATTGACAGCAAGTTGTCCCACCTGGACCCTTTTCAACAACAACAGCTAAAGCAGCTCATATTTGAATATAGTCACATATTCCCTGACGTTCCATCAAGGACTGATATGGTTTACCATGATGTCATCCTACAAGATGATGCCAAGCCTGCAAAACAGCATCCTTACAGAATGAATCCAGAGAAGCAGAAATACTTTAAACAAGAAGTCAAACCAATTGATGCAAAAGTAAAAGTTATCACTGAATTTCCTGAACCTACAACTAAAAGACAACTAATGAGATTTCTATGGATGGCTGGCTACTACAGAAAATTCTGCAAAAAATTCTCTATCATTTTTGAACCTTTGACAAATTTACTGACGAAAAATGCAAAATTTGTTTGGGATGAATAATGTCAAAATTCATTTGACCAGCTGAAAGCTATCCTCAAAAATGCACCAGTTCTCTTATCTCCTAATTTCAAAAGGGAGTTCAAGTTGGCTGTTTATGCCAGTGATATTGG